GTTTCTCCTTTTCACAGTGTGGCAGAAATGATGGGTGGTTCCAAAAAACGTGGTCACATGACAGTAAAAGTGTACAGTTGCCAAGAAACGGGGGGTGGGTCCACTTACCCCTTAAATTATTACAGAGTGTGCTGTCTTCTCTTTTAATTGTATATTTGTAACAACTGGATAATTTGTATTAACAAGCACCCACCCCCCTAGTGCCCCTTTTTTGGTTTGGGCCACTGCCCCTCAAAATGTCTGTGCACGGCCCTGATGCTGTAGTTACTCCAAGACTCCAGTATTGACTCTGTTTAACCTCCACATCCCAGCAGTGTGTTCCTGAGTTAAAACCCTCTGAACCCAGAACACAGAAATAATGTTTAAATCTCTCTGGATTATCAGGAACAGGTTGTTTGTTCTCGCTGAATCTCACACTGGTCAGATCATCAGACACGACGAGACGTGGATGAGCCGTGTTTGGATCCAGAATCACAGGAGCTGAAGAGACACAATCAACAGATGTTCATTTAATGATCAAGAGTGAACCCAATTATGACACTCGTGCTGTTGATCAAACACATCAGACATTTTCCTCTCATCACTGACAGTCATTCTCTGATTGAATTATTAATACTGAAAGTTACATCAGAAACAGGGAGCGACACATACTGAAAACATATTTATTTGATTTAAGCTTTCATTTTTATATTATACACTGTCATTTTTAAATTATAGTGAGATGTTTTTAATACAAAATGTTTCCTTTGTACATAACTTTACAGTGCTTTCATATTCAAATGAGATAAACAACATAATAAATGCAGCAGAAATAATTATTATACCTATATATTTTTCTCGTGAATCACAACGCTCTTTACTGAACACTGCCCGAATAAACAGTAGCTATTATTCCACAATAATGCAATGAAATATGAATATCATTTCATATTAATAATATTCTAATAATATGATTTATTAATATAATGTATTGTTTATTATTATTATTAATCATAATAATACTCTTGCTAATATGAACAAAAACAATTAAATTATTCAATTATTTATTTAATTCAGTCACTAAAATAGAGCTTAAAATAAATTATAAACATTAGATGAAAATCTAAAAGATTAAGATTAAATGGAAATTTGAAAAGTTGTTTTGGCAACTACCCAAAATAAATTAACCTGAAGTATTATAAATAAAACTAAAACTAAAACTGAAATAAAATTATTTATAATTATACATATTAAAACTGATGCTAAATATATATTTGTTCATTAATAAAAATGACAAAAACACAATCAAATTAATTTAAATTGACAATTTAAGTCTGATCAAGTAAGAAGTCTAAAAAAGTGCTGAAATCACTTCTGTGTCTTTCTAAAAGCAGGGCTGGATTTACCTCTTATCATGACATATAGGCAAAACGAATTTTTGTTTATTGCAGGCTGTTTGTAAATGTAAGCTATTAATTTAAATTATAGACAAGTGCAAACTCGGTGCTTAAAGCAAATGTAGTTGGCCACATTTACAAAAAGACACTGATAAATCCACCATAAAAACATCTTCAGCTTTTGGTCTTGTTTCTCATCAAACATAAAACAACTTTAAGCAAAGGAATGAACGAATGCATTGCTGTCCCTCAAAGCCTCTTAAGAACCTGATGGAGGGTTTTTTCCCCCTCATGGAGTCCTTGATAAAGTTCACATCAAGCTTCTTTCGATTCATAAAGATGCCTCTAAGTTACAGACGTGCCTGATTGGCCAGAGACGCTCTTCGATAGTGGAG